GTCCCGCAAGAAAAATTTCCCCGAAAGCCATATAATAAATCCTTTATTGACCAAGCTTGTTCGGTCAAGATGGCTGAATATTGGCCTCGTTCTTTTTTTTTTGGCGAGTTTATGGACCTCGACTACGCCTCGGTCCATAAACTCGCAAAAAAAGAACTTGACCACTGATCCAGCCATCTTGACCTCATACTTGGTCAATAACCCATATATATTTTCTTAAATTGCCAGAAGGGTTATTCGCACTATTAAGACCCCGGAACGAAGATCCCACTAAAATATTCGATAATTTTGATAAACTGTTTTGTGACACCTTTAACTCTTCCTTTTACCTCTTCAATCTTTTTTTTTCCAGAAATATCCAAATGCAAACTTGATCTTGGTCTGTTGGTTGACACGACGAAAAGTATCAAGTACGAAAACCTACCGATATTGAAGGATGCGCTGCGGTATCTGATGAACCAGTTTGATGTCTCACCCAAACGAACTCACGTATCACTGCAAACGTTCGATAGGAGAAGCACGCTTCACAACAAGTTTAACGACGACAATTACCACAGCAACAAAGCCATCAATGATTTGATAACTAACAGTATTACCAAGCTGGACCAACCTACCCGCCTTGACATAGCACTTAAGACTGCCAAAGAGCTGATGTTCACGGAGCAAAGTGGACAAAGACCTGGGGTCCGGAGTGCCATGGTTCTGTACACCGATGGAAGATCGCATCCTTCTACGGAGGACTTTTTCCTGGAAATTGTATCACTAAAGGTAAGTTCACTACTTTGCGGTTTTCAATATTTAGTCAAACATAATGCATCTTGAAAAAATATTTTATTGAGCCTGATTATTTTAAGTTCGCTGTTTGTAATCAGTATTACATTTTTTCTCCTCAATTTTAGTGAACTAGGAGTTTATTGAAATGATGATAATTTGTACATCCAGCATTACGACTGTATCATTTAATTCATTAAGCACTACATGAAAATGACACGAATGTTTCCTTTTTGGCGGTTTATTCACAATACGGGCTGGTTATGAAAACATGTGAAAGGGCTACCATTTTTTCAATTAAAGGTATACGAAGGCTAAGGGGTACCTTTTCTGTCAAATTGGTGCAAAAAAGGGTAAGGGGTAGGAACTCGGAACGGAGCCTCCTTGAATAAAACTTTGGAGAGTACCCCTCCGGGGGGTAGACTACGTTAGTTTACAGCAGCCCTCTGATTTCACTTTAATTTTCAGACGAGAGGCGTCCGCATTATCGTGGTTGGTATTGGTCCAGACGCCCGCAAAAATAAGTACAGACAAGTCCTGGAATATATCGGAGGAACAAACTTGTTTTATGTAGACGATTATGCCAGCCTTGATAACGCAACCCAAGACATCAAGAAGTTGATTTGTCGTAAGTTTAAGTGGTACGATTTTAACTGGGGTTTTCTAACTTTACCAGTAATAATTTGGTCATAATAATAGTGAGACTTTATTTAAGTGACTAACTCTTAGTTACATAGAAAGCTACTGATCTAGTCACAACATCAATAAGAAATAAAATAAATTACAATAGATAATACTAAAAATGCATGATTACTGTTAAAACTGATAAATTACAACAATACATTTGCACAAATACTTTAGCAAAGAGAAATCTTAAGACATATCAATATGGGTCGAACTTCTAGGTGCGGCGGCTGGCCAGGTCTACCTTAAGTATACTTCTCTTGAACAATTTATAGTTACTTATTTGCCCGTATCTGTTTTCATAATTGAAGTAGTAACAACGTAATACCCGTAGACTGAATTTATCATATCCACTTATTTCTCCTCGAGCCGTGGGACACACAGGACATGTACAGGCGCGCGATCCCGTTGGATTTCTATTTGTCACGGGTCTGGGCTTAGGGGCGGCCGGAGTAGTTCTGCATCACCCACGGCAAGAATATCCTCTCTCCACTAAAGAGTGTACGTTGCCCCCGGCAAAGGGAAAGGGTAACTTCATAAAATGCTGTTGCTCAGTAACTGCGAACTCATCCAGTAGTAGTGATAATAATCCTAACTGCATCATGCTACAGAGATCGGAGTTAATTAAGCGCCAGAGCTTCAGCTGCTGAGCTTCTAAAAGGCTTAACTTTGGGTATGTTTCTTCCTATAGCACCAGATCCTTGTGAAAACTCGAAGGGAATGGACGTGGCATTTATAGTGGACAAGACCAAGAGTCTGGGTGTAGCGAACTTCTTGCTACTTAAGGGTTTTCTTCTTGAGCTCGTTGCTGCGATGCACATCGGCCCAAATGCGACACACACGGCCATAATGACGTTTAGCAGGAAACCAAAAGTCTTGAGCACCTTTGCAGAAACAAAGTTCTACAGCAACGAGGCCGTTCATCAGTTTATTGCTGAAATACCTGTTTTTCTTGGCGATCGCACCTTCACTGACAAAGCTTTGATGGCCGCTGCAAATAAGCTCTTTATTGAGAGGGCAGGAGACAGGCAGAAGTACCCAAATGTTCTGATTCTGTTAACGGATGGAAGAACCAATCCCAAATCACAAAAGTTCTCTGAAATAACTCCGAAGTTAAAGGTAAGATTAAAAAACACAAACTACTGGCTTTTTTTTAAAATTAGTTTTAATCGTTATTGTCAACGATAGCAAGCTTATATGTACGTGTACATGTTTCATTTCGAAATACAACATCAAATAACCTTGAGATAGTGTTATGATTGTATTAAATAATGTGGCTAAAAAATCACCGACATTAAATTGCCCTAACTTCTAAGTAGAGTCAGAGATAAATTTCTTTTTCAAGCTTTTCTTTTTATGCATTTTTGTCAATTTTAATTCAAGACTCTAACAATTTCAACAAATTTCTTTTAATCGTGTCCCTCTTCTTTAGAGGCTCCTCTTTTTACTCTTTAAAGTAGGTGTGAACTCCTTCAACATAAGTATTTTAAAAAAAAATGAGGAAATGTCTGTTTTCACGATTACATTACACTATATAAGAAGACCAACTTTTACCACCCACCCTTAGTCTCGAAAGGACGGCGCAGTTTGTTCCCTCTTAGTTCTAACTGAATCCATGTAATAATTCTGACATCACTGAGAATTCACTTTGTCTCTTACATAAACTTCCATAAACATAGTATTGAAAGGCAAGCCGTCTACCTCAACTTTATTGTTTTAACTGTAATACATTGCCAAACAGGCGACAAACACGAGAACTTTGAACAATCGCTCATTTCTTCATCTTATCTCTTTTCTGTCCAAAGGAAAAAAATGTTCGCATTATAGCCGTTGGGATTGGCCAGTATGAGGATTTTCAAGGCCAGTTGGAAGAAATTGCAGGAAACAATGTTCACAATGCAAGCAACTTTGATGAGTTATCGAATTTGTTTAATGATATCCTGGCTGAAACTTGCAGTAAGTAGACCAAGTACTTTTATCAAATAGAACTTAACATTTGTTTTAGCGCAAGTCTTATCCAGTCGTTCTGCCAAGAGAGCATCATACTAATTAAGTTCCAAGATCCTGGAATTAAGTGCATCTTGTAAGAGACGCGGTGGCCTCATGGTTAGTGCGCTCGACTCCGGAGCGAGCGGTCTGAGTTCGAGCCCTGGCCGGGGACGTTGTGTTGCGTTCTTGGGCAAGACACTTTACTCTCACAGTGCCTCTCTCCACCCAGGTGTATAAATGGGTAACGGCGAATTTAATGCTGGGGGGTAATCTTGTGATGGACTAGCATCCCATCCAGGGAGGCGGGGAGTAGAAATACTCCTAGTTGCTTCATGGTACTGAAACCGGGATAAGCTCTGACCTGATGAGCCACTTGGCTCGTATGCAGACTTTGCCTTACCTTACCTATCCTGGCTGAAACTTGCATTACTGAAGTAAACCAAGTGCTTTTATCCAAAGGAACTTTACACTTGTTTTAGCGCAAACTTTATCCAGTCCTGGGCCAAGAGAGCATCGCACTACGCATAATTAATCCTCAGAGCGTCAGGTTTGAAGGAAACATGAGCTCCTGGTATAGGTGTACGGACACCTTTAAGCTTGGGGAAGGGCGGTGACCTTCTTGCCTGAAACTTAACAAAATAACACAATGCCCGAATGCGAGAGACAACCGCACTCACATTAGAGTGAAAACAAACACGAGCACGTTCACAATTCGCACGCCTGATGAAACTGTAATGATTTGTATTTAAAAAAGAAAAAATAGATAGCTGTTGCCTGAATCATGAGGGTTTTGCCCGAAATCGATTTCACTGACTTTCGAAACTGCGAGGATGCAACCTCCTCCCCCCCGCCCCCCACCCCTGAATAAATAAATAAAATAAAATAAATATAACCTTTATTTACCCTCGGCATTGTTTATAATACAAAGGCTATTGGGGCCGAGCAAACAACTGAAACAAATGATTCAAAGTGAACATACCATTGTTAAGTATCCCAACTGGCCGGAGGCAAACCAGTTGGCTATTTACAAGCGTGGCCGAGGATTTGAACTCGGGGCTACCGTGAAACAAATTCAGGTAGTGGTCAGAACGGGACTCGAACCCGGGACCGCTGAATTACGAGTCCGACGCCACGCTGCCTCCAACTCGCACGCCTATGGCTTCTGGTGTAAACTACCCTCTAGTTTAATTTAATCCATTAAGGGGATCTAATACCTTAAAACAAATATATATATATTTTTTTGCAAAACAACTCTGTGGGGCAGTTTTGGTACCACGTTAACTTAAGGCTTTGCATTATGACCTCAAACTAGGTCACATGCCACAATAGTCAATGAATAACTAGCTCCTAAGGGTTAAAAAGTGGTGTTCATTATAAACACGATAACGTACTAATGAATGGTTCGAGAAGCATGGAATTAAGTTCATCCCGTCCATAAGAGAGTTGTCCAGGGAACAAATACCAGAAAACAGAAAACAAATACCTATTTCACCGTGTTTTCAGGTGTGGATGGTGGTTTTTCTGGCTGGAGTTTCTGGTCTGACTGTAGCCTGACTTGTGGTGGTGGAGTCCAAACAAGAACCAGAACCTGTACTTATCCCCCTCCCCAGGGGTATGGAGAAGACTGTGATGGCCCCCTGCAGGACGACCAGGCTTGCAATAAGTCCCCCTGTCCAGGAGGTAAGTCTTCATCTTTACCGCGTATTACCCTTTCAATGCGGATGAAACCTGGTAATAGAAAACGCTCGTCAAACTCTCAGACCAAGCCATCATCACCTCCCTGAAAAATAAAACCCTAATGGAGGATGAAGTTCTCAAGA